GGGGGGGAAGGTGGGGGCAAAGGGGGAAATACATTTTTATTGACATGCCACATCTCTGCTTCACCCTGATCTTTCCACCTGGCAAAAAGCCAGCAGCCCAAAAGGCAACAGCTCTGCCTGAGCAGCATCATCACTCCAACCTTCAGCTTGGAGCTGGGGTTCAGCATGATGTACTTCAAAGTGTTCTGGATGTTTTCCGTCCACGAGGCCAGCCAGGTCACCGTGTTGTCAAAGCGTACCTCCTTCCACTTGTGTCCTTCTGGTGGCACAGGGATCTTGGAGTCCCTGTAAGTGGAGCAGGGTTACAGCCCTCAGGACCATGAAGAAGAAACAGGTCATCAGCTCAAGTGCTTCTTCACAGTGAATCAAGGATGGTCAACACATTGCAGCATTACTTACATAAACATACAGCCCACCCAAAATTGCTCCACAACATAGAATCATACATGTTGGAAAAAACCTTTGAGATCATCAACCATCAACCCTATTCTACCAATCACACCCCTAAACGATGTCTCCAAGCACCACATCTAAATGACCTTTAAAAACATTAAGGGATGGTGACTCAACCACCTCCCTGGGCAGCCTATTCCAATTCCTGACAACTCTTTCAGTGAAAAATTTTTCCTGATGTCAAGCCTAAACCTACCCTGGCGAAGCTTGAGTCTGTTCCCTCTTGTTCTATCATTAATTATCTGTGAAAAGAGACCAGCACCTACCTCTCTACAATGTCCTCTCAGGTAGTTGTAGAGAGCAATAAGGTCTCCCCTCAGCCTCCTTAAGACTAAATAGCCCCAGTTCCCTCAGCCACTCTTCATAAGACTTATTCTCTAGGCCTTGCACCAGCTTTGTTGCCCTTTTCTGCACTCTCTCCAGCACCTCAGTGATCAGGTCTTCATCCTTCGGATGCTGGGGACAATGGGAGTACTTGCTGGCCTGGTGGGGAATGTTTTGAATCAAGACCACCAGGTCTTCACAGGGGTGGTTAAGACCAATCCAACTCAGAGGGAAAAACCTCTTAACCCAATCACCATTTTTCCTGCCTCCAGTGAGTATCCTGATGCTTCCAGCCAGCACAGGGGACCCATAAAGTGAGAAGGAATGGCCCATTTGGAAAAGCAGCACAGAAGAAGGAGTACGGAGTTGTCCCTTCTTCAGAGAGGCTGTAGGGGCTTTTGCAGTTGGTGTTGGGTGAACCGTGCAGGCACCAGTGAGATGGGAGCTGCTGACCAGCTTCCCTGACCACTGTAAATCTACAGAGAATCTAAAAGTCAGACCCAACTGCAAAACAGATACATGGAGATGACCAGCAGGTGATAGAAGGGCTCCAAGTGAGTTCAAGCCTGAGGGTGTGCAAAGCAGCGATTGTAGGAGATAGCAAAATCCCACAGCAACTGGAGGCACAGATGTGTTGTTTATCCCAGTCCCAAAAGCAGCTCAGCCTTTGGGAGCTCAGCTCTTCCTGTGGCAACTCACTTGCTGCAGTTAATGACAACATCTTCTGGCATGATCCTCTTCTTCAGCATGCCCATTTTGGGGTGGTCACCACGTCCACGGAACAGCCCCGGTGGCTCGGTTTTGAAGTTGCCTATCTTCTCCCGGTGCCCATCAAGGATGCAGTACCCATACTCCTCCTGGATCTTATCTGCCTCCTCCTTCAGTTTCTGAAATGAGCACCATCCCACAGGGTGAAACCAAAACACCATGACTCATGCCTATCGCTACCCTCCTTTCCCTGGAGAAAGCAAGTCTGGAAAGGCAGATCTCAAAGGCTTGGAGGGAAACATGAGCATGGATCCAAGTCCACTCCCAACACACGGCTCATCTCCACCCACTTTGCAAGCCCTTGTGGTGATGCTGTCCCCACATCAGACGCCAATGGAGCAAAGCCTGTGTGCCACCAGCCCCTTGGCAAGGTCCACCATTCTTTGGACATGGCAGGACCCCAAATCATGGTCTGAGGATGACTGATACCCTGCAGAGCCATGAAAGGGGCAGCCTCTGCAGATAAACTCAATGAAGAGGGATGTGACGGTCATGGAGAAACGGAGCTGATCCAAGGGCCAAAGAGGTCCCAGGTCAGGGCATAACACTAGGAAAGGAGACAAGCAGGAACTGAAATACCCTAAGCTGGCCCCAAAACATATCAGTCAGCCCCAGATATCATAGGAAACAGTCCTCACCTGCTTCTCCTCTTTGGAGAGTGCTTTCCGTGCCTCACTTTTGTCCATGAAGTACTTGTGGATCTCCGTGAAGTCACACTTGTCCAGCTCTTTGATTATCTCCTGCTCCTTCAAGGTCATCTCCTGAGCAAGAGATGAGAGGGGCTGGGTAAAGCCAGGAGGCAAAACCAACTCCACACAGACCTGCTGCCTGTGACTTTCCTTCACAGAAAAGGAAAGAGACCTACGTGCCACTTCTTCAGAAAAAAATCAGAAGGAAGCAGCCACCCAAGGGCAGACAGAGCTGCCGTGGCAGAAGGCCAGGCTGCCTCTAGAAACCTGAGCTTGCACTCAGAGCAAAGCAAAATACAGCCAGCTCTGGAGTGGAGCAATCTCTACCCTCTGCTGTGGAAACAAGCGGTCCACAGGCATGGCTGCAAGCAGCTCACAGGGACTGAAGAAACTGCATGAAAGGTATTTGGGGTGTGTAAACTTGCCCAAGTAGGGGTCTCGCTTTCTCTTGTGGACTAAGCTGTGGTTCTGCAGGACCCATGAGGCTAATCCTTCAGAGGGACATATGCTCCAAACAGCTGTCAAAGCTATTTGCAAGACCCAGCACTTGCTTTCTTAGGTAGCATCACAAACTCAGCAGGAGCAACATGAAGCACTCGAGGATGCTGCACACCACAAGCCCCAGTCCAAACCCACAAGAAGGCGATAAATCAAATAATTTAGTATCTCCTATTTATATGGTTATAAATCAAGAGCTAACCTACAAAAAAAAAAAACACCCCGTCATCTCCCCTCCATCCCACACTGCAGCCTAGGGTCTTGCTTGGGGATGACAGATTTATGTGGAAGACAGGCAGCGAGGAAGCCCATGCACGGAGAATACCTTCCTCCAGTCATTGAAGAAGTTGTTCTGGAAGATCTCCTTGGTCGTGTATTCATGATCAAGCATTTTGGCATAGAAGGTGGCAATTTCCTCCGTGGCCAGGCTCAGTTTCAGGGGTTTGCCTAGGAAGAGAAAGGATCTTTGGTTATGGGGACAGCCCAACGCCGCAGCCTCCGGCAGTTGTTTGGTGAGTCCTCATACTCAGCACGGTGCCAAAGCAGGGATGGGGGGTGAGAACAGACACTGGTGGGACTCCAGCACCCTCCCTACACCAGGCACAGCCTCGCCTGCAGATCAGCACTCGGCACAGCAGGATGCTACCACAGCCCATCTGCAACCACACGCTTTATTTTCTTTTCCAGGAGACTGGAAATCCTGATTTGTGTTAAGGTCACTCAGCCACAGGGTTTTCAGCAGCCACCATGCCATGATGAGTCCCAAACTAATGGCTCCACAAGACAGCACAGAAAAATTTGCTTTCTGACCATGATCACTTCCAGAACCATGTTGAAGAGCCAGGATTCCACTTGGGGAGGTTTCATCTCAAATACTTTCCCACGCAGGTGGAGTGATCATGGGAAGATCAAAACTGAGATCTGCGCAACAGGTACAGATGCAAGAGCCTCTCATGGCTGTCCAGTGGATCTTGGAACATTTCTTGGAGATGACAAAGCCACTGTCCTCTCCTGAGCTCTTTAGCTAGAGCAATGAAGTCTAGTGATTCCAAGGAACATCTTGGCTTTTCCTAGGAAGCCAATACTTTGAACTGTCACCTGGAGGTCTGCAAGGTGCTTTCCCTGCAGCTTTTGCCTAGAAAAGCTATTTCAATCCTACCTGCACCGGACACTCTGGATTTTAGATTTCCTGACCTCCATCTGAACTGCAGGGCATGGCAGGTTACAGCCTTACAACAGCCCCATGACATCTTACATACACCAGCTCAGCCATTGTCCCTTCCTACACGGGGCTGCCGCCTGGGCACAGACGCTTTTTCATCCAGGAATGGTGATACCTTTTAGCAAACGAGCCAACAACACCCAAAATCCCAGGCCAAAACCACCAGCCTAGGTGCAAACAATACACAGATGAGTGCCCAACAGATCAGAGGCCACAGAGAAGATCCAAACCCTATGCAGAACTACATAGAGCTGCCAGGGCTCCTCAGAGACAGTCTTCGACAGCCCCATCGATGTCCCAGCAGTGCCCTCTGGTGACAGCGTTGCCAGAAACCTCATTTCCCCAAATTGACTTTTTTTTTTTCCTCCCGTAAAAAACCCCACAAGGTATAGAAAGCCCCAGTGAGGGGGGCTGAGGAGGACCAAGACCCCATGGGACAGTGGTCCCCTCCCATCTCCAGCAGCCCTTGGTCAAGCCCCAAGGTCCTCGTTGCCTCCTTCCCTTGATCTATCAGAAAACAGTCCAGGGATGAAGCTCAGAGCAAGGAGGAGAACACAGCCAGGCAGGCATAGGAGGAAACCAAGGAGGACAGCAGAGACCTGGATCTGTCCTGTCAATCTCAGCCCCTCAACTGATGCACCGAGTTGCTGTAAGGCCACACATGGTGGCCCTGAGGACCACATCGGGAGCCATGACCAGGAGCTCAGAGCAGCCCAGCCAACATCTTTGAGGGCAAGTGATGTGTCAGTCACTGAGGCCATGGGACAGGCAAACTGCAGCTCTTGAAAGCAAAATCACATTTTCCCAGCTTACAAGGCAACCATGCTTGAGCTGACAAAGCTCAAACCCAAAAGGAATCTTAATGAGAAAAAAATTATTCTTTTTTTTCCTCCAGTCCGTTTTCACAAGGTACATAAGGACTTCAGGCAACAGCATCAAGATGCTTTGCTTCCCCTCGAGAAACTTAAGGTCCAGCCCCATTACCACATGTCCTGCAGCCAGGGGAGGCTGTGAGCAGAGGTGCAAGTCCCAGGTCCACACACGGGTGCATTACAGCACTCTAAAACCAGCTGCAGGCAGCAACACAGGAGCACTCCCTCTGTCCCAGGGGGCTCTGCAGGGAGGGTATGCACAAAGCACCCTGTAACTGGCTCATTAGCTCCCTGATAACCCCATAATTCCCACCACATCCAAAACCCTCCAGCTCCAACCCCAGGTTCAGGCTTTATCCAATGGGATATTTAGGCCTTTTAATAACTTGTGGTCTGCCACGCTTCCCCCCCTGCCCCCAATACAAGAGAAGACACTGGCTCTTTGGCCAGGCAAAGGACAACTCCACGTGCCCGAGGTCCCATCGCAAGGTGGACGTACCATCATAATAAAACTGGACATCATCAGGTAGTGGCTCATAGAGGGGGGCAAAGTAGGGTCCTCGGTGCTCCAGCTGGGTCCACTTCACCCCATCTTCTTTCTTCTCCTCTTCCCACCTGGGACAGATGCACAGGGACTCATGAAAGCAGCCCAACCCTGGGGTCTGGGACCTTCTCCCAAGGTCACCCTGGGAAGACTGTTTGTGAGCAGTGATGGTTGCCACAAAGACCAGGTGAAATCCTGCTGTCTCTGCTGCTGCCTCAGTTTCCCCATTCCTTCAAAAAAGGCAGGCTGCCATACAACCCAGGGAAAGGCTTGAGGAAGGGGACACGCTCAGTGCAGTGACACGGAGGGACACAAGGGGAGAGTGAAGGGGTGGATCAGGCAACCAAACCCACCGGCACGGGCGGAGAGACCACCAAGGCTCCTCAGTTTGCACAGAAGCAGCTGCAAGCACTAAAATGTACCCTCCCCCTTCCCTTCTCAGCCCTCACTGCCTCCTTTTTCCAAAAAGCACCTAAAAAAAAAAGTTCACAGGTTCACAGGCATATGCCAGAGACGAGCAACACACAATGTTCATGACTGCTTATACCCATGACCTTAATGAAATAAGATCTTAATGCACCTCTCCCCCCTCCAAAGCAAACAGGATTTTAAAGTCACTGCAAGCCTCAGCTGCAAAGCAAAGATTTTTAAATTAAAATAAAAAATAATTTTTAAAAAAAAATTGTGAAAACACCCACCCTGAAGATCAGAATAGCCCCCCGTGTCAGGGGCAGAGGAAGAGGTTCACTGGAAGATCGTTGCTGACAGCAGTGCATGGGACAGGCGGGGGGGGGATCTGCACCCTGCCGCTCAGGCTCAGTGCTGGCCAGGCTGGTGCTGGCTACTTAACCCTAGCACTTCCAGAAAAGAAAAAAAAAAAAAAAAACAAACAACAACAAAACAAAAAACCCAAGGACTGCTGGGAAAACACAGCAAGATTTCACGCTGGGGAAGAAAACCCCCAGTGTTTCTCGCTCAGCAGTGCCCCGGAAGTATTTCTGACCTTTCTCCTTCCCATGGGAAGCAGCATGGAGTAAATCAATTGCCTCGAAAGGCGCATTGTGCCAGGAAAACATAGAAAAAAAGGTATTAAAGAAAAATCAACAAGCTATAGGAAACTTGGCTGAAAGCATCTCGGAGGCAGGCAGCTGCAAGCATGATCTGTGGGTTGCTGCAAGGGCTCCGTCTCTCACCCCAAATCCATGCGATCCCCCATCCTGGCACAGCATCGCCCCCCACTTACCTGCTGCAGCCCCTCGAAGCTGGCCCGAGGCAAACGAGGGTGAGCTGAGGGTGACAGACCCTACAGCCAAGCAGCGAGGAGGCGAGATGCCGGTACATGCCACCAGCCACCCACAGATCTAGCGAGGCTGGTCGATGCCCAGAACACCCCAAGCGTTCTGCCCCAGCATCCTTCTACCCACCAGGGCATGGTGGTGGTGGTGGTGGTGCCCAAAGCACCGCCATGAGAAGCCACCAGTGTCTCCAAGCAGTCCGGGTTGTGGCACTCCCCACGTGGCAAGGCTGTGCAAGCCTTATGGGAAATGTAGTCCTGCACAGTGGGGTTTTTTTCGGGGCAAAACTGCTGCAAATCGAGCTGATGCTGCATACCAGCCTCTCGCCTCCACACCAGGCTCCAGCCCCTAAACAAGACATTATTTAGCAAAAAAAAAAAAATCTGCATAGTCCCACTTTTCATACCACCCTGTGCCCCACAAGTGCTGTCCCAAAGGTCCAGGCATCCATGGGTGTCCCTGTTCGAGGGAACAGCCTAGCAGCTCCCCACAGCCTGGGTTTGCAAACAGGTTCCAAAGCATCCAGCTCCTTAAATGTTCCTTCTCTGCCCCAGATATTGGGGTGCTCTGGGAGAGAGTGACACCAAGTGGCTAAAGCCACTGCTCCCTGCCACCTCAAAAAGGAATACAGCATCCATCAGCCCCACTTGTACATCTTTTCCCAGCGTTCTCCTGCCAAAAAGCTTGCCTGGATTATCCAACAACTGCTGGGGGAGGGGGGAAATACAGCCCCTTTTTATCCTCTACAACTGTTTTGGGAGCTGTTTTATTACAGGATCATCTCCTTCCACCAGCCATGAGCACCTCCCTTCCCTGGCTGGGCACCAGCAAAGCCACTTCAGGAGGGATACATATTGTATATACTGTTACAAGAGTTAAAACAAGGTATAAAAAAAATTATATACAAATACTATTGTGTATTCAGGACCTCCCATTATCTCTCATCCCCTTCCTCCTGCCAAGAGGGCTGAGTTCAAGACTTAAGAAAATACAGCAGAGCAGTTAAAAAATGATAAAATTTTTTTCCACAGTTTTACCCTAAGAAATAAAACTAAACCCCTATTTGTGTTACTGTCAGACCCATCCATAGGCCAAAGGCACACAGGACACTTACCATTTCCACTTGTTTTCTGTCTCTTCTTTCTTTTCTTCCTCTTTCACCTCCTTTTTAGCCTTTTTGTTGTTTTTTTCTTCTCGTTCGTCCTTAGACTTCCTTTTCCGGGTTTTCCGTGGGGTCTCATCCTCTTCACTCTTCTCTTTGGTCTTCTTCCCCTTCTCTTTCTTTTCCTTCTTTGGCTTTTTCTCTGTTGTTTTCCACTTTTTCTCTTTCTCAGGCATATCTCCCTTCCCTGGCGCTGCCTCCTCCTCCTTCACCTCCTGCCCAATCTCTGTGCTCCGAGTCTCTCCCCATCTTTCATCCCCTTTATCATCTTCCTCTTCTTCCTCTTTTACTCCTTTTCCATATTCGCTTTCCTTTCCCACCCCATCTCTCTCCTCCAGTTCATCCCCCACTCCTTTCTCTCCTTCCTCCTCATCTGTCCTGTCCAGCTTTCGCTCCTCTTCTAGCATCTTTTTCTTCTTTATTTTCTTCTTCCCCACCTTCTCCATCCCCTCCATTTTCACCTTCTTGCGCTTCTTTTCTTCCTCTTTCTCCTGCTTTTCCCTCCCATCACCTTGCCCCCGGGTGCTGCTGCTGCTCCCTCGCTTGACTCTGCCTCGTCCTGCTGCGTGATTCCTGCCCCCATCATCACCCTCCTCCTCGATGCCCTCCATCACATCCCTGGGGCTTTCCTCAAATTCATCTTTCTTCCTCCCTCGTTTTTTCACCAGTGCTTTTCCCCGCTGTTTCCTTTGCTCTTGTTTCTTCTCTCTTCCTTTTTTTCTTTTCAGGTCTTGGGCATCCCCTCGCTGCTGTGGGACAGGAGGGTCCAGCTCCTTTCCCTCACCTTCCCTTATAGCAGTGAGCCCCACGTCCACCTCCAAAGGTTCTCCAGAGGGGGGTGCAGCCCCACTAGCAACACCTTCGCTTGGCTTTGGGACCTGTGGGAAACAGCCAGAAAGGAAGAAAGGTTGAAGTTGGGAAAGGAGAGCAACTATCCCCAGGCCAAGGTGCAAGAGGGAGGTGCTAAGGGATGTGCCCCGTGCAGGATTGGGTCTGGGGGGGGTGACAGTTTCCCCTGGGTTTCCTACCCCAACTCCAGCCTTGGTCTCCGAGAGCCACTGTCCTGCTGTGGGTCCTGCTCTCCAGGGTTTGCGCTGTGACCTACAGGAAAAGCAAAGCCACTTCTCACTACAGTGGTAAAAGGCAGCCTCCACCTCTTACATGCAAAATTAGGGCATTGCTCCTAAACAAGCCCTTGTTTCTCTTCAAGTATGGCAGCACCTCGGGTGCTGTGGTGAAGGGAGATAACCCAAAGCAGCAGTGACCAGATCCTGTAGGAACTAGATGGCCCTAGGTTGCAGCTTACAGGATGAGGAAGCTCTAATGAGCAGGACCACAAGGTCTCCAAATAGGGGAGGCCCCAGGAAAATGTCCCCCAGAGACACCTCTGCCCAGAGAAAGACAGGTTTGCAAGGTTTGGCAGTACCAACAGAAAGAGGACAGAGATGGCATCAGCATCGTGGACACGCTGGAGGAGCAGACCTCATGATGGGACATTATCTCCTGGGACTGTGGGGATGGGCTGCCCCGCTCCCCTCCCAAGAAGGCAGCCTGAGCATTGGTACAACAGGGAAGGACACAGCCTCATCAATGCAACACGCTGCAGGACAAGGAGTGTCCAGATCCATGACCTCCACCATCAGCAATATGGGTGAGGAATGCAGGAATATTTCCCTGGTCAACAGTCAGGTAAATTTTGGAGATTTCTGTGGGACTTGCAAACTTTATGAAGCACCAGCCTGCCCCTATAAAATCCTAAGGCTTCTCCAAGCCAAGCAGGGAGTTGGAAACCTCATCTTTGAGTTACTCATGTTCCAAAAGAGCAAAGCAAGAGATGGAGTAGCAAGCACAGCCTAAACCAAGCCTGCATCTTGTAGGTCAAGCCTACATTTCCACAGGGTTGAGGTGATGGTGTCCCCTTGCCCACAGGGAAAGTTGGAGCTGTCCCCACTGGGTCATTGCTACCTCCCAACAGCAAGATGCCCACCAGGTCACAGAGCATCACATGCCCAGCTTGTGATCAGCATCACCACAACACAACTTATCCAGGCCAGCAGAGCAACCAGAGCTGCATTCTTCCAGTCCATGCTGGGCAAGCTTAGCACTGAGCTCAGGCTGTTGTACCAGACCATGGATCAGACCCATTGCCTGCCTTTTCCCTGCTCCTGGCACTCCCCAGCAGGGCCAGTTTGGAAGCATGTCCAGCTGCCCTGGTGCCACCCAGGAAGGAGCTGGGAAACCAGGTTTCTCCATCCGAGGACGGAGACATCTCTCCTGCACATCCAGGTGAGCACAAACAGAGCAGAGCCACAATTTTTGCTTTTAGCCAAAACATCCTGCAGACATGGTTTCTGCAAGCAAAAGGGAGATTTTTTTCTTTTTTTGGCCCATTTCTAAAAGTTCACTCAGGCTGATGCTCTATTACTAGGATGGTGGGACACCACTGCTACACAGGGCTCAGGAAAGCCTTTGAGACTGCTTGGGATAGAAACAGCAAGTTCCTAAAAAAACCCAGGGGCCCGACGCTTTTTCCAGGCAGCCGGAGCACACATTACACAATCGCCACTAAACTCATTAGGGCAAACAGCCCGGCAAACCACGCTCAGCCCTTCCAATCTCATTAGCAGCCGAGCACCAGCAGATTCCTGACTCAGAAGGCAAAGTCCTGCTGCCTTTTGGGATCGGCTCCTTCCCCAGAAGGTCTTATTAGAGGCCTCTCACTGGACATGAAAGCCCCTGCCTCTAAGACTCAGAGAGGATTAGCCTGCTAAGGGACAGCTTTATGAATTCAGCTTCCTATCTCTGCCCAGATCTAGCATGGGATGAGACAAAGAAACACCCTTTTCCCAGGCTCTGCGTGGCTAGTTGTCCCGACTAGCACTTCCCCACTGCCTACCTCCGTATTTATGTAGGTATGTGCATCTGAGCGATCGCACCCTGCTGACTCGACCATCCTTGAAGAGGTTGGATGGGGCCAGGAGCCTCCCTTTCAACCTTCAAATTCCACTTGCAATGTTTTTGGCAAGCTTTAAGGTCACTGAAGGCACTAGGGACACAGCAGGCTGCCCAGTGGAGGCATCAGCAGCAGAGTGGGCTCAGGGATACAACATGGAAAACCAGGGCTATGCAAGCCCTGTGGTGAGAAGAGAAAGGACAAATTTCCAGTTCTCAGGGCAAAAAGCATTCAGAAAGTAGCCCAACTTACCTTGAAGAGTCTTTCAGCCCCACTGATGGCCCTTGGTGGAGGGTGGATTGGGTCCCCTCCTGAAAGGTATTAACAGTGTTGATCTGGGAGAGGTTAGCTGGCATGGATACCTCAACAGCAGCATCACCCCCATGCAATCACCCAGCCCCTGCAATGACAGCCAGCCAGGCCACAGCACCCATGTCCCATTGACATCACCTTGCCCTTCCTCAGCCACCTTGGCTAGAACCTAGGAGCCCAGAACAGCAGGCTTTTCCAGCCACAGGGAGAGCTTTGAGGTTTTATGGGGTTAGGAAATCCCTGTCTTAGCTTCCAACAACACTTAAAAGGTATTTTATAGAGCAAATACATGAAAACTATCACCTCTCCTCAACCATCATGCTCTTTAGATGCATTGCTGCTATTGGAGACACCAGTCCAGAACAGCAGAAGGGATGGGAGGGCTCCAAAACAGAGATGCATCACATGACAGCTTATGCGCATCCACGCCAGCTTGGTCCTTAGAAGATTAAGTGACTCTTGTAGCAGATGGCAAGGGGAAAGAGAGGTGGGGGGCAAAGCCATAAGGTGGGTAATACGACAAGGGTGAACAGAGGGCAA